AGCTCAAGGCTAGTGCTCTACCACTTGAGCCACAGTGCCACTTCTGGCGTTTTCTGCTTATGTGGTGCTGAGGAATCGAACCCAGGGCCTCAGGCATGCAAGGCAAGCGCTCTACCACTGAGCCAACTTCTCAGCCCCCCTTTTTTTTTTCTTAAGGGTAGTGTTCTACCACTTGAGCTACAGCTTCATTTCACACTGTTTTCTGAGTAGTTTACTGGAGGTAAGAGTCTCAAGGACTTTCCTTCCAGGGATGGCTTTAAAGTATGATCCTCAAATCTCAGCTTTCTGAGTAGCTTGGATTATAGGCGTGAGCCACTGGTGCCCAGCTATCGTTATTTTTAATGTTTTGTTCTCCAAAATAGGAAGAAAAGAGAGGTACTGGCCTTTATATTTTGGAAGTCAGATCAGCTGAACCTTTAGCAGGTTTTGAGATGGATAACAACAAAGTGACTCCTGTCTCTGTCTACACCTCAGTGGTGAGATGCAGTGGACAGTACAGGTCTTTCATACTTGGAGTTCACGGTTTGGTTTGCTCACCCAGGCTCCCCGAAGCCGGCTGTTGCAGCCTGCTATTGGAGCCTGCCGTTTGTCCTGCTGTGGGAGGACAGATGGCACCACATGGGTAGTTGCTGCTGTGGTAACAGCTCAAGTTGGCGGGAATGAACACAATTTACCTTCTGCTTCTTCCGCTAGTAGTTGTAATCGGTTCCAGAGTTCCAAAGTGGTTATATCACACAGAATCTGCTGCTGCAGACAGATTCCTGATGTTTCCAACTCTACTGCCTTTCCACAATCACCTTTTTCTTATTTTTACACTTAACAATGTCTGGCTTATAATGAGTGCCCAATACAAATGTGTTGAGGAAAAGGAAGGAAAGCAGTGTTAGAAGTAGAAAGTTGTGTCCTAAGTATAGTTTGAAGACAGAAGCTACTAAGCTTGTTTATAGACTGTGACGTGAGTGACAGGTTAGTGAACGAAGGCATCTAGACTTTGGGCCTATACTTCAGGAGTTGTCTTCTTGATAGTGAACCAAGGGTATAAAGTAAGTCTTAATAGTTTAAGGTAACAAAATTACAGTAACTGAAGTAGTTACTCCCAAAAGTTCCTTCCACTTGATTTTAACTTGGTATATTAAGTTTGGGAGACAACACCACTACATGGATCTTGTTTGTTTTCTTAGGTCATGCGCATCGTGGACAATGTCCGTCCTGATCGGCAGACAGTTATGTTTTCAGCTACTTTTCCCAGGGCTATGGAGGCCTTGGCCCGCAGAATCCTTAGTAAACCCATTGAAGTACAGGTTGGGGGTCGAAGCGTGGTTTGCTCGGATGTGGAGCAGCAAGTGGTGAGTACTTTAGGGACGTTCCCATAGTGGTTAGGCAGTGGGAGTGATCCTTGTGGTATCACTGTTTGTGATACCACAATTAGGTATGCATCAATTTCAGTGGCCAGATGCACTGGATGTGTGGTCAGTGGAATTAATGGGGTTTAAAATGCTCTCTGTGGCCGGGCGCTGGTGGCTCACGCCTGTAATCCTAGCTACTCAGGAGGCTGAGATCTGAGGATCTCGGTTCAAAGCCAGCCCGGGCAGGAAAGACCGTGAGACTCCTATCTCCAATAAACCACCAGAAAACC